TCTGACCCACCTATTTTAAAATCAGCTCACACTTACTAAGCAAATGAAATAAGGATGCAGAGTGAATGCAATATTATTACAGCTGTTCAAACCACTGAGCAAACACATTGATTCATTCTAAAGAAACCACATTCGGAAAAGCTATAAAACCTTCATAAGAGGTATTAAATTCATTTGACTTGGTGAATACAGAGCATGTGTATTTTCTGGCATAGGCATGGGTAATAAAATAAATACGGATGGAACTAAACCAAATGTCTGTGCTACTGTAGTTAGTACTTAGCAAAGTTGCTATGGAGAGCATCTGACTTTCCTTGAAGACTAAAATTAAAAGTAGCATCAAAGCTTTTAATCTGATTTTCCATTTTATTGACTTGACAGTGGGATACTAATCTTAGAGAAAACCAATCATGAGTTGGTTTTCATGAGCTTTTTCTACCAGTCCTAGAAAATTTTCATTATCCTAAACCTAATGATGTTTCTTACTTGCAGTTTCTATAGCTTTCTTTTTAGATCAAGCAGTTTCTTATGGCTCCCTATAGATTTTCTACTTAGCACATTTAACCAAAATCTTCAAACATTTCCTTTTCTGGCCTACGTAGTCCATTTTTTTTAAGATATGAGAATGTCTAATTGCATCCATGCAGACTATATTATGTAAACTGCACAATCCAAGTGAAATTGTCTGAAACCAATTGCATAGGCGAGGAGTAAAGATTAGTTAGCCATAGCAACGCTACTGGGAGTGAGCAAGTGCAAGGGTTGCATGCGTTCCTGAGGGAGAGACAGAAGAAAGAGGCAGGAAGGAGTTGTTTATAATTTTATTGCTCCTCATACACCACCAACAGGCTGAAAAGAGCTGCCTCTGCCCACTTTCTGATATCGCATATTCAAAGTTCTCTATCAAAGGTTGCCCAGAGAGGCGGTAGATGCCCCATCCGTGGAAACATTCAAGGTCAGGTTGGACAGGGCTCTGAGCAACCTAGTTGAACTAGTTGATCTAGTTGAAGATGTCCCTGCCCATGGCAGGGGGGTTGGACTAGATGACCTGGAACATATCAGCTTCACGTATCCAAGCCATGAAATCATCAGATGATTTCAAATCCCAAGATAAAATTCTGCATTTAGTTTAGCATTTTTCTCCATGTTAGTTTTAAACATTCTCTCTTCAGTTTTCTGCTGAAAAAGCCACAGCACACAAAAACTATGAAGTTTCAATTAGGAAAAAGTTGTATACATATTTATTGCACAAGTAAAAAATAACATTTTTGAGTCTTAAAAAATGACTTGAAAATCTCATACAATTGTAGCTCAATTGTATGGACAGGAAAAATTGTGGAACAGGAAAACTTTGAATCCCAAATACCAGACTTTATAGGAATACAATACTGCTGGTGACAATCAAGACTGGGAAATTCCTGAAGTTTGTTGAAGATAATTTCTTGCGACAAGTACTCAGTGAGCCAACTAGGAAAGATACCCTCCTAGACTTGTTATTTGTGAATAGAGAAGGACTCACAGGAGATATGATGGTAGGTGGTTCTCTTGGCCATAGTGATCATGAAATGTTTGAGATTAAAATTTTCGGTGTAATGAGAAAAAAGGTCAGCAGCGTTGCTATCCTGGATTTCGTGAGAGCAAATTTTAAGCTGCTTAGGGAGCTACTTAGCAGTGTCTCATGGGAATTTGCTTTTGGGGACTTAGGAGTCCACAAGTGCTGGTCAGTTTTTAAGAACCACCTGTTAAAAGCACAGGCAATTCCCCTGTATCGTAAGTCAAGCAAATGGGGCAGAAGACCAGCTTGGCTGAAGAGGGAATTCCTCATGGAGCTCAAGAGGAAAAAGAAATTGTATGATCTCTGGAAGCAAGGTCAGGCTTCACAGGAAGATTACAGAGCCGTGGTTCGCATATGCAGGGAGAAGACATGAAAAGCCAAAGCTTAACTAAAGTTGAAACTGGCTAGCGTTGTGTCAGACAAGAAGAAAGGATTTTTAAATATGTCAATAGCAAGAGGACATCCAAGGAAAACAATAAAACTGGTGAAAGGGCTGGAAGGCATGTTCTGTGAGGAGCGGCTAAGGACTCTGGGTTTGTCTAGTGTGAAGAAAAGGAGGCTGAGGGGCGAACTCATTGCTCTCTACAGCTTCCTGAGGAGGGGAAGTCGCGCAGCAGAGCCAGCCAAGAACGAGTCTTGCTCAGGGTATCGGTATAGACATGGTTTCAGGTTGCGTGGGAGGTTCCGACTTGACATTAGGAAGCATTTCTTTACAGAGAGGGTGGTCAAACACTGGAACAGGCTTCCTAGAGAGGTGGTCGATGCCCCAAACCTGTCAGTGTTTAGAGGCATTTGGATAATGCCCTTAATAACATGCTCTAACTTTTCATCAGCCCTGAAGTGGTCAGGCAATTGGACTACATGATCGTTGCAGGTCCCTTCCAACTGAAATAGTCTAGTCTAGTCTAGTCTGTTTTATTCTATGTTTATTTTGGCGTAAGACCTAACATAACAAAGAAGCGAGTGGTCCACATTGAACCCACGAATGTTAGTAACAAATGGAGATGTTAGTTTGTACTGACATCAGTATTTTAGAATTGATTTGACAATGAATTTGAGTTGGTTGACAATTAATGTATCAATGTCCTACAGTTAGTGCAGCCCTGATAGCCAAGCCTGTGCTACCTTTGGACACAACATCTCAACAGCTCAGGTATTGCTAAAAACAGAGTTGGGGCAACACAGATTTCAATGTTGGCTAATGGTGTAAGCTTAGTCTCTGAGGCATGCTAGTGGGGTGATAGCCATCACTGCAATGAAGAAAAGGGGTTGTAGTGAGATGGGTGTCAGTCTCTTCTCCAAAGTAACAAGTGATAGGACAAGAGGAAATGGCCTCAAGTTGCACCAGGGGAGGTCTAGATTGGATATTAGGAGATATTGCTTCACCGAAAAGGTTGCCAAGCATTGGAACAGGCTGCCCAGGGAAGTGGTTGAGTCACCATCCCTGGAGGTATTTAAAAGACTTGTAGATGTGTTGCTTAGGGACATGGTTGAGTGGTAGATTTGGCAGTGCTAGGTTGACGGTTGGACTCAATGATCTTAAAGGTCCTTTCCAACCAAAATGATTCTATGATTCTAAATAGGTAAGAAAGTCCCTATAAAATAAACCACCTTTTTTCCAGAAATAAGAATTTAGTTATTGAACTGTTAAGAGCAGAAAGATCTTTTTTTTCAAAATATAACTAACTTTTCTAGAGCATGAGAAAACTGAAAAGAGAATTGGTAACAGCCAGGCAAACAGGTTTTCCTGTGTCAGGTAGCAATAGCTACCGACATGCATTCAACACAAAACACGTTCTGCAGATGTTCAGCTGTATCACTCCACAGCAGATGCTGCTCACTGGGGTTCACATCTCATACCCTCCAACAGCAGGAACTACTTCTGGGAGCTCTGTCTGGAGATGATTGTGAAACCCTTCTCAGTGACTTAACCACAAATACATACATGTGGGTTTGCCAACTGACATTTTAGCCTGCAGATAGCAGTAGGGGCATTTCATGAACGCAGACAGGATGTGGCAGGCATGAGGCTCGATCCGAGAAATTCTTCACCAAGATTTTTCTTCATGACAGCAAGTTAAAGATGTGTAAGAGTGAATTTGTCTGTTCTGTCTGAAACATACCGTTGACATTCAGGCTAAGTTTAGATAAAGCACCTCAGGAACAGCCTAGATTTGCAGCAGCACGAAGCTCAGCACATAGTATAGGAACAGGGAAAATCCTTAGCTACAGCAAGCTTCAAACTACTCACACTTTTAATGGCACTTAAGCAATTCAATTTAAAGCTGACTTGGCTGTCTTCAAACTACACCACTTTCAAAATAGACTATAGAGCTATCTTAAATCAGGTTAGAAACTGGTTTGATCACAAAGGTTAAGTTCATCCTGTCTAACTTCAGAAATTCAATCGCCATATGGGAGGCCTGAGGGTATCAAAAACAGCCATATGGGGCTAGCAGATATGAGACAGGACATATGGTAAGGTCATGCCCTCTGGATAGGTACCTGAAGGCCAGGTAATTTGTTCTAGGGCCTTTCAAATAGCACTTGATGCTTACATTTAGACAGCTGCATCAACCACTAGCTGTTCAGAAGTCAAACACCTGGGGCAAGATCCAATTGCCTACATCTACGTGCTGACTGCTTAATGCGAAAGACTCAGATACCCAAGACATCCACACAGAACAGGGAGACATGACACAAAACAAATGGGGGCCCATGTCTTTCTGGAGAAGCACCTGGAAGCCATCTGGGACACTGCACATCAGATTTGCTTACGTACTTACATGTGGGCAATTGAACCTCACCCCAAAGTTGGCTTTGATTTGAGGTTCAGACACTTGATTTGGTATCTAAACCTAATATAGCTGTCTACATGTAAATTAGTCAATGGAGATCTAATTAACACACTGGAAGAGCCTAAAGAACTGATTAAATGTAAGTGTCTATTCTTGTTTATCTGCCATCTGATGTCATGGTTCTCAATTCTGCCTGATCTCCCAAACCAGGACTTTCCCACTCATGAAGACTTTCATTTGGCAGACAAAGCTTACTTCTAGAATTCAACATCTAATTCCCCTGCACCTTTGGGGCTGCTACCTCAAATTTGAGAATCCTATACTAGACCCTGCTGTAGCAAAACAAATGTGCTTGAACTTGACTCCCCAAACTTAGCACGCCCAGACCTAAAACTTATCTCTAATAATTTAGCATTATATGCTAATTCTGTATTTTTAAAACTCTATGAGGCCTGTTACAGCTCAATCATTTTAAAAGCTGCTAGAAAACAAGCCTGGAAATATGGACTTGTATTAAGTCACTCAGATTTTTTGATCACTATGTAACATGCATCTGTAGCTACAAAATATTGCAAGAGACCTTAGAATAAGCTAGTTCCTCTAATGAGCACTTCCTTTTTCCTTTTTTCCTTTTTCTCATTTTTAAGGCTTTATTTAATTCTTTTCTGCTCCAAAAGCCTATAAATATGACAGAGAGAAGGAAAATATGGTTAATATTGTGAAAACCAGTTCCTAGACTGGTTGCTATAACAGCCCTCAGCAGATCATCAGATGGAAGTAGAAGAAAGTGAAAACTGGACCATGAGGACCAGAAACAAGGTTACTCCTTTTCTAAGCTTTTCCTTTTATGTAAACACAGAGCATGAGGAATGCTACAACTCAGTCCAGCAATATAAACCTATTCCAATAAATACATTAGTGTTGGCATTTTGAAGAGCTTCAGTCTCACCTCAGGAACTCCTGGACCCAGAATATTGTTACTTTTCTCTTACCTAGAATAAATTCTAATGAAATTCAATGAGAAATCCTTTCTGACCACTTCCTAAAAACCTGCATTTCCAGGGAACAGGGTGACATAATGGGAAACCATTGCAGAAGCTGTGACTAACCAGACCCTTTCCCAACTGAACCAGCAAAAATATTCCAGAGAGAGCAGCTCTCTGGAGGAAGAACCACTCTTGTGGTTGAAGCAGTCCTATGCAAGACAGATGAGCAGAGCAGCAAATATTCACACCCATCCAGCGTGTAATTACTGGAGTTCAGTCTACAGCCTCTTCAGTCTGACCTTTCATCAACACAATCTGTTTCTGTCAAGGAAAAGGCGATGATAGAGCAGAAGCTAATCGCCACTTCTCCATTTTAGTTTGAAAGAACTTATTGTGTGATCTTATGAATGAGGCCTGACACAGTAACTACACAATTATTTAGTTGAAAACAATGATAGAGGATTTGCATATCACTCATTAAAACACTGGGGAAGCAGAGTTTAAAGTATGGATATGCATGAAGGCTGCTGCTTTTTGTTGTAATCCTGTTGTCACGGTTGTTTGCATTAAACAAAAAAAATTTATATTTAAATGTATGTACCTTTCATATTCCTTCCTTTGTGCCTTTGTATGCCAGTCACAAATTTTCTCCACCAGAAATTGTTGCAGGCAGGACTCTTTAGATGTCTGCCAAAAGACTCGTCAATGGATCAGGCTTACAGAGAAACTGCAAATGTGTAAAACACTCGCACCCAAAGCAATTTAAACAAGAGCTGCTCTGCCTCTGTTCCATTTACTTATATGACAGAAAAAAAAAAATATTTTAACCCCCAGAAGAGCCTGGGACCAGGGTATAAGTGATCCATAAAGCTGTTATGCCTCCCCTCAGAATTGTGGAACGTATGCAGAAGACAAATATATTTCATTTCAGGTATCTGCAATTCATTGAATCATTTTTAGTCTTCTGTCCCACTTCTTGTGGATGGATCTTCCTTTCTATCTACTTCAGAACAAAGCCAAATGGAAAAAAACTATGATCCAAAACTGGCACAAATTTGTCCCTCTGTGGGACTACTACAAATAGCCTCCAGTTTTGCACATCCAAATGAGAGTCCTGCATACCCATCCCCTTATTTTCTACTGCCATCAATGAAAAAACCAAAACTTTTTAATCTCTAGCTCTTTGAAGATAAAAGTGCAAGCAAGATTTGTCAAACATGCAGATAAAAGGGAACAACTATTTATTGCTGTTATTGAATTTAGCAGATATTATTGAGCAATCCTGAAAATCAGTATAAAGACACAAGGAAACTGTTGTCAAGAATTTAAGTGGCTTGTTCAAAGCCACAAAGCTATGAGAAAACACAGTCACTCTTTGCAACAGTGTCCATAAAAGACTGACTAAGATAAAGGCAGATTACTTTTCCCAAGATAAGAAATGCAGGTGCCATTTTCACAGATGAATTCTCCATGTCATCAAAATCCTACGTTAAGAGTCTGATTTTTTCAGTAATGCACCTCCTAGATGCAAATTTGGAGAAGCCATACCACCATCTCTCCACTGGAATAGAATCCCCTCATACAAGGAAAACAGGACATTTAATCAGATTTTGGCCTTGTGGACAGAGAAAGGAGAGGAATAATTACTCTGTGGAGGAAATGAAACTACTTCTGGGATCTTATGCACTAAACAATTGATTGCTTTGATTTTTGTACATATTTTAGGTTATTGAATAAAAAAAATTTAAAACACCAAAATAAATAACTAAATAAATATAAAGAAAATGTGTGTTATAATTATAAATGATCAAAATACAGCTTCCAAGTGACACTACTATCACAGTAGAAAACGTCTTTATTTGTGGACTTATAAGTTAACAGTTAGTTCGTATCTAAAACTCCTGTATTTAAATATTTTTGCATGGACTTGTAAATATGCCAAGAAACTTGTGAGCTAACTGGATTTTAATAAATCTAGCAAGACGCTGTGCACCAATGTTCCATCAACAATGGTAATTTTCTATTTAAAAATTAAATAGGATATTAGAAGCTATCTATTCTTTGTTATGTAATTTTTCTTGTTAGGATTTTCAGTGTAATTTTGAGAATTTTAGCATAATATAGTATATCTGAACCATCCAGATACCATTATTTTCCAGTTATTTTCATGCCAAAATTTTTGAATCAGAGAAAAGATTGCAAAAGATTCAGACTTGCACAATGAGAGTACATCTTTCCTTTAATATTTTGTTTTGTGACTATGCAGAGACAAGGGTATTTTTTTAAATATCCACGATTTATGAAATTAACAGCAAGCTTATTTCACGCCATCAGTGAAAATCTTTTGAAGTATTAGCTAAGCTGTCTACAAAAATGTATGTTTTCCAGTTTCAGTGTGAAAAAGGGTCCCATCTACTACCACTAAATATTTTCAGCAAGATAATATTTTTTTGCTTATTGAAAAAAATATTTGTGTTGTTCTTAATTTTCCCTTTGGAGAGACGTATTGTGTCTGCTTTTCAACTTGTCCTCATTTCTGTAAAGTTAAAAAAGAAAGTGTGACAGTCTATTTCAGTAACATTTTTTTCTTACTGAAGGCTGATGCACAGATAGGTTATAATGAGATAGTTCTTTACATTTTTTCTCTGTGGGTTGTGACAGAGTGCAGCTGGTAAGAGTGGGTGAAGAGATCTGAAGGGAAATGCAGGCCTTATTGAAATCAGTGATTTTTATCACTGGCCTCAAGGGGTCAGAGGTTCCACCCTGAGACTTTAGACTTTTGGAAGCCAGGATCCCAAAGCCTTGCTCCCACATATAATTTATAGTAATTTGAAGTGTGTTGTACCATGCTTATATAACCAAAATACTGCACAATAAATCCATGATGTATGTATTTTCCTCATTTTGAAGTTCCTCATACCCTGTGCTTTATAATAATGGCTCTTCTGTTATTCTTGCATAGTACAAAGTTGTATAACTCACAGAAAATTAAGAAAGCACTGTGCGATCTAGCTCAACTTAGGTACCCACAGAAAAGCTCTGCACTGTGCCCAGGTGAGCACTGATACTTGGTATTAGCCCTTCCTTAAATGTTTGCTCTCTCTCTAGAGAGCCCACGGGCAGGTATTGCAGCACAGCACGCTCATATCTATCTTTTTCCACATAAGTTTCTATATCCTTGTCGTGGTTTAAGACCAGCCAGCAACTAAGCCCCACACAGCCACTTGGCCACTCCCCCCTGGTGGGATGGGGAAGAGAATCAGAAGGGTAAAAGTGAGAAAACTCATGGGTTGAGATAAAGAGAGTTGAGTAGGTAAAGCAAAAGCCGCCCACGCAAGCAAAGCAAAACAAGGAATTCATTCACTGCTTCCCATCGGCAGGCAGGTGTTCAGCCGTCTCCAGGAAAGCAGGGCTCCATCACGTGCAACGGCGACTTGGGAAGACAAACGCCATCACTCCGAACGTCCCCCCCTCCTTCTTCTTCCCCCAGCTTTATATTCTGAGCATGACGTCATATGGTATGGAATACCCCGTTGGCCAGTTCGGGTCAGCTTGCCAGGCTATGCTCCCTCCCAGCTTCTTGTGCACCTGGCAGAGCATGGGAAGCTCAAAAGTCCTTGACCAGTGTAAGCACTACTTAGCAACAACTAAAACATCAGTGTGTTATTAACATTATTCTCATACTAAATCCAAAACACAGCACTATACCAACTACTAAGAAGAAAATTAACTCTATCCCAGCCAAAACAGGACAATCCTACAAGTTCAATTGTCTTTGCTCTAGTTTAATCTCTGGGATGTACTTGAAGAAAATAATCATGTCTCCTCTTCATTGCAACAATGCAAATCACTGCTGCCAACTAATGGTGTTTGGACTTTAGTTGTGAAATTAGCAGCAGCTCTCCCATTACACCAACACAAAAATTGCTCTAGAGCAGAAAGCACAGAACCTGTTCGAGAGCAGAAAAGCAAAGAATCTGTTCCATTAAAATTCAGCAGATTTAGCCCAGCTGACACCAGTAAGGATGACAGTAAAAGGAAATAGAAGTCCAGATTAATATATGATGAACATCTGTGGAATTAGGCCATAATTATGTTAAAACAATGCAGTTATTAATTACTTTGCAATACATTGCAGATGAATCATCTTTAATTACCAACAAACTTGGGCTTATAAAAATACCTGTAAGCTACGTTTTTTAATTACAACAAAGTGTATTTTAGCTATCACTAATGTGTATTTAGATATCACTATTATCAGTCTTTCTTCAACCAAAACTTCAACTTTTTTCTCACTTTTTCACTTTGTCATCTAAACTTCTAGGCTTCTTTGTCTTCTAAGAATTTATTTGTCTTATTTTCTACAGAGTACCAATATATATACTGTATAGCACTTCATTTCTTCAGCTTTGAGAGTCTTGAGTGATATTAACCCAGAGATATTTTTGCCACACAGTGCAAGAAAAGCTGCTACAGCGATAAGCTTTGGAAAGAAAGGTAATTCAAAGGTATTTAAGGGGAGGGCATACTTTTGTCCTTGCTCTGTAAACTTACTGAATTTTACGTTCAGTACTTCCTAAGCACATACTGCAGTTATCTCAGTGGTGGATTACACTGCTAATTCAGGAGCATAGTTAATACACCACATAAAGGAAAGCCTGTTTTTATACACATCTTTGTAGCTCGTGGAGACTTTTGACGGTCAGGGAGGCAACTGGCTCATGTGTTTGGACCTGCACCTGAAGTAGAC